TGACTCGATCCTGCTTCAAGCATACCAATGGCTCGCAGACGCTCATTTTCGGACAGGCGTGGCATTTCGTAATGATGAATAATTGCGTAATTTTGTTGTTTTTCTGAGTGGTTGTTGTCAGCACGATGCTAAACAATGCATATGGAATCCCGTTAACGCACATGTTTTCATACCCATTCTTGGGTAGTGAAATGTATTGGGCTTGCACACGTAAAAGTCAACTTTTGCATGGAATGCATGCTTTTCTGTAGCAGTTGCGTTTTTGTGACTTGATTCCATACATGTACTACAATATTGAAAACCAAACTTTACTTGTTTGAAAAATACACTTAAATATTGGTGTCAAAAAAAGATTTTGTTGTTGAGTATACTTCAGCTCTATTCTTCGATAATAAGACTTATATCCCTTCCAGGGAGGAGTGTGTTCCACGATCCGGACTAATGCTAATTTATAGTGCTGGTTCACTGAGATACCATGCCGCAGCTTAACATTAATACCAGACTCAGACACAGTATAACAGTCCTTGTTTTAGTCCCTTTATGCCGAGCGCCAGACAGGGTAACAACAAGTACCATCTTTAAACGTCTTTTGGTATGACGAGGCCGGGGATCGGACCCCGGACCTTCCGCTCTCCGGGAGGACGCTCTACCACTAGACCACAGAGGCGGTCCAAATCAAGCTGTTTTATGACTTAGTGTGTATGAAGTTGCTACATATCTCCCGTACAATTCGTGTAAGGAACATCAAATGGTCGGTCTGTAATGGTCAAAACTGCAATTTCCATCTACATTTCACAAATTGAAGGGGGCACGTGTAGCCAATACGTCTAAGGCGCCACAATTCGCTGTGTAGAGGTGCGCCAGACACCTATGGTCGTGGATTCGAATCCTACATATCACTTTACATTGTATGTTCTAAGTTGTCAGCACCATACCCGTGCTCGTGAGTGACACAACAGTAGTTAACGTCAGAGACCAGCAGCACTTCCGGATGAAGCTGACACAGTGTCATATTACTGAAATACTATACAAAACTACCAATTGGCTCGAGTTTAGTCTCTCTATAACTCTAAAGTTTGATCACCAAACTAATGTTATGATGAGTTGAATCCAACTATGACTATGATGAACAGAAGGAGAAGCGTTAATATCCTACATATATATATTTACCTGTGTCATGGGCTGTGATGTTTTAACCTGGCGAAAGCTCTAAGCGTGAGCATACTGTACATTTTGGCAACATTACCATACGCGAGCAATGTGACACCAGGATCCTCACTAAACAGGATATAAGCACCTGCATATATATATCTTCCTCTTTCATAGTAATAAATAATGCGCATGATATAGTTGATGTGAATTCAGCGTGTCTGTTTTATCATACAAGGAATGTCTGACAGTGTATTGCACCGCTGGGGCCTGTTGGCATGCATCACTACCATCACCACCACTACTATCTGGTGACGGGCGGCAGTGCTGGGACATGGAACCGTGCGGCAATTCTGAGACGTTGTCGCATGCGTCACTAGTGGGACATGGTGACGTTCGTCAATGCTGGGACCTGGAGACGTGCGTCAGTCATGGGACATGGTGACTTGCGTCAATGCTGGGACCTGGTGACGTGCGTAAATGCTGGGACCTGGTGACGTGCGTCAGTGCTGGGACCTTGTGACGTGCGTCAATGCTGGGACCTGGTGGCATGCGTCAATGCTGGGACCTGGTGACGTGCGTCAATGCTGGGCGGTGGTGACGTGCGTCACTGCTGGGACTTGGTGACGTGCGTCAGTCCTGGAACGTGGTGACGTGCGTCAATGCTGGGACCAGGTGGCATGCGTCATTCCTGGGACATGGTGACATGGCCACTGCCAAATCAAACGCGAAATGTCTTCGTCGTTTTCACAAAACTAAAATAAACGTAACAATGTGCCATTTTAGATTAAATTCACCTACCTTTTGTATAGAACTTAGAGCTACATTGTATTTTATCTTATCAAAATCAGTTAAAAATGTTTCAAATGTTAACTTTCAAGATTTTAAATCCCAAACTTGCTCGTGTACATCCCTTACCCTTTCTTAAAACGACCAAGAATTATCTCACCGATAACTTCCCACAATAACCAAATACCTCAGACAATATCTATTAAAATCATCCCTCATTAATGTCACCCAACTAACCCTAACTTGCCAGAATTTTTACAAAGTAGACAAAAGAAGTTGTTATCCACAAACGTTGCCTTTACAGTATTAAAGAAGTTGTTATACATAAATTGTGTCGACTTTGTCATCCGTCACCTTCTAAGTAATGCCTATCAAACAAATAATATTTTTACAGATCAAACTTAACATATAATTTACCATCAACTATCACGCGACCACGAAAAATACCACAACCATGAAATATACCATAGCCATGTGCTGGATCTTAACCATGTAGTATATCCTAACAATGTAGTATACCATAACCATGTAGTTTATCCTAACAATGTAGTATACCATGACCATGTAGTATATCATAACCATGTAGTATGTCATAACCATGTAGTATACCATGACCATGTAGTATACCATAACCATGTAGTATATCCTAACAACGTAGTATACCATAACCATGTCGTATATCCTAACAATGTAGTATACCATGACCATGTAGTATATCATAACCATGTAGTATGTCATAACCATGTAGTATACCATGACCATGTAGTATACCATAACCATGTAGTATATCCTAACAACGTAGTATACCATAACATTGTCGTATATCCTAACAATGTAGTATACCATGACCATGTAGTATAGCATAACCATGTAGTATGTCATAACCATGAAGTATACCATGAACATGTAGTATATCCAAACAATGTAAAATATCATAACCATGTAGTATACCATGACCATTAAGTATATCCTAACAATGTAGTATACCATAACCATGTAGTATACCATGACCATGTAGTATACCATAACCATGTAGTATACCATAACCATGTAGTATATCCTTACAATGTAGTATACGATAACCATGCAGTATACTATAACCATGTAGTATACGATAACCATGCAGTATACCATAACCATGTAGTATACCATAACCATGTAGTATACCATAACCATGTAGTATACCATAACCATGTTGTATACCATAACCATGTAGTATGTCATAACCATGTAGTATACCATATCCATGTAGCATATCATAACCATGTAGTATACCATAACCATGTAGTATACCATAATCATGTAGTATGTCATAACCATGTAGTATACCATAACCATGTAGTATGCCATAACCATGTAGTATACCATAACCATGTAGTATACCATAACCATGTAGTATGTCATAACAATGTAGTATACCATAACCATGTAGTATACCATGACCATGTAGTATGTCATAACCATGTAGTATACCATAACCATGTTGTATACCATAACCATGTAGTATGTCATGACCATGTAGTATATCATAACCATGTAGTATACCATAACCATGTAGTATATCATAACCATGTAGCATATCATAACCATGTAGTATACCATACCCATGTAGTATACCATAACCATGTAGTATACCATAACCATGTAGTATGTCATAACCATGTAGTATACCATAACCATGTAGTATACCATAAGTATGTAGTATACCATAAGCATGTAGTATGTCATAGCCATGTAGTACACCATAACCATGTAGTATATCATAACCATGTAGTATACCATAACCATGTAGTATACAATGACCATGTAGTTTAACCTTACAATGTAGTATATCGTAACCATGTAGTATACCATAACAATGTAGTATACCATAACCATGTAGTATACCATAACCATGTAGTATACCATGACCATGTAGTATACCATAACCATGTCGTATGTCATAACCATGTAGTATACCATAACCATGTAGTATACCATGACCATGTAGTATGTCATAACCATGTAGTATACCATAACCATGTAGTATACCATAAGTATGTAGTATACCATAAGCATGTAGTATGTCATAGCCATGTAGTACACCATAACCATGTATATCATAACCATGTAGTATACCATAACCATGAAGTATACCATAACCATGTAGTATACCATGAACATGTAGTTTAACCTTACAATGTAGTATACCATAACCATGTAGTATACCATAACCATGTAGTATACCATAACCATGTGGTATACCATAACCATGTAGTATACCATGACCATGTAGTTTAACCTTACAATTTAGTATATCGTAACAATGTAGTATACCATAACAATGTAGTATGCTATAACCATGTAGTATGCCATAACCATGTAGTATGTCATAACCATGTAGTATACCATAACCATGTAGTATACCATAACCATGTAGTATACCATGACCATGCAGTTTCACCTTACAATGTAGTATACCATAACCATGTAGTATACCATAACCATGTAGTATACCATAACCATGTAGTATACCATAACCATGTAGTATACCATGACCATGTAGTTTAACCTTACAATGTAGTATATCGTAACCATGTAGTATACCATAACAATGTAGTATGCTATAACCATGTAGTATGCCATAACCATGTAGTATACCATAACCATGTAGTATACCATAACCATAAAGCATATTATAGGTATGTAGTATACCATAACCATGTAATATGTCATAACCATAAAGCATATTATAAGTATGTAGTATACCATAACCATGTAGTATGGCATAACTATGTAGTATATCCTAACAATGTAGTATATCATAACCATAAAGCATATTGTAAGTATGTAGTGTCACATTGTTACAATCGATCTCACACTCACACCATGTGTATGTATGTATTCGATGGTGCAAGGTACTTGGGTTAAATCTGATGAGTGAGTTTTGGTTTATGCCGCTTTCAGCATTAAATCACCAATGACATCCAAATCCAACATGAAACGAATGTGGGTAACCGATGTACCCGAATGAAGCAACTGGGCGAACCCACCTTCCGTGCTAATCATACATAAAACTCGTGAACGAAAATGTTTCTTTAATGAAAACATTAAAAAACAATTTATCAAATACTAACTGTTCATTTCTATTATTCAGCAAATATAATAATTTTTGAATTCCCACTAATGATCCTTGGTTCGTTGAAAGTAGCCCGTAAACCAACAAAAGAGACAACACAGAGAGAGCATAAGCGTGTACTTATAGTCTCAGTCATTTTCAGTATATGAAAGTACAAACAGTGGAATCAAAAATCAGTGATATGGTCAGCTGACCTTGTTTCCTTTTCAATATACTGGCAAAGATCATATTGTTCTGGTAGGTTGGTGTTGACGTGATCAAAAGAGTCACTTGCACTGGTCTGTTTATTGTTGATGTCAGAGCATTCGTTTTTTGCAGCGATTGATTTCTTTTTCGGTTTACTTTTGTCGGTTAACGAATACACGATTCTATCCCAAAAAAGTTTGTCAGAGATGTGAATGTACGTCCATGTCTGCATACAACGCCGAAAGTCCGCGTCAAGATCATTCACGGGGATGTCCTCAAGGAGGACCAGAATCAGATGTTTCTTCTTCTCAATGAGACTCTGGTGGAAGGCGGTGCGGAACTCCATCAAACACCACTCGCTCTCCAGAAACTTCCTAGACAACACCAGGATAGTGTGTCTGCTTGCCTCAACGCTCTGACAAATGTTGTCAGCTATAGCGGCGCCAACTGCAAAGTCTCGCTGATGAAGACATAACCGGAAGTTATTTCCGTCAGGGGAACCACTCTCTAGTCGAGGGAGGAGAGTTTTCACAACCCATGTGGTGTCATGGTGACTGTAGGCCACAAAAGCGTCGTATGTCTTATTGCTTGAGTTTTCAATCGGTTGACATGGAAGAAGAATATTGAAACGCGTGAAAGCAAGAATGGTTATCTCCTTCCTATATCTTGTCGTTACAATAATAGTGATTATCAAAATTATTACGATTACACACAGGACTGATATCTGAGCGACATAGGCAGTCGTATCCGTTGAACACAACAACTCTTTTGAAAGGCCTCTGATCGCTTTTCCTCGAAACCTTTGAGGGGTAACACATTTCAAGTCCCAAAGATAGCTGTAGTTCATGTTTATATTCTCACCTTGATCTTTTTTTATACTCTTCTGGAGGTAGTCACTAAAGTTTGCCATAGCACAATCACATCTAAAAGGATTGTTTCTTATGTCAATTACTGCGCCTTTTGTTTTTGAAAAAGAATTTATTTCTTGGATGCCTATAGTGCGAATGTTATTATACCTGAGGTTTATTAGACCAGTACCTTGAGAAATAAGACTCATATCTCTCAAGTCAAAACGAGAGATATTATTATGAGAGAGGTCCAAAGTTTGCAGCTTCTCAAAGCGGAGTCTCCATGTTTCCAAAATTGAAGGATAAACTTGTAATTCTGTGTCTGAGAAGTTTAGTGTTCTGAGCTGGGGAAATAGAGAGTTGATGAATGTAGAATATATTAAGGCAACCGCCGTATCAGTCCTTTGGCTCAAATCATAAACCTTCATATTTCTATAGCGACATACATGTTCAAGACTGTTGATATCCCGCGTCGTTTGTACAAACTCGTCAGTTACGGAGTCCTCTTGCTTTGGAAAGAATCCCTCTGGATATATAAAATCTGTCGTGGTGTTCCTGTAGATGAATACCTCTAAGGACATCGGTCCACACTCCAAGGCAGGAGGGAGACTCTTCAGGTCGACAGACAACATATCCATAACGTTAAACTGTTCAGTCACACCATATCCTTCAAACACCCTCAGGGAGTCAGGGATATCCAGCACTTCCGGTCGGTTGAAGTCTGAGAAGTAGCACGTGTTGATGCAATTCCTGATCTTCAGAGTATCCAGATGTCTGGCTCGGTACGGCCAGGGGAGACAGGCACTGGCTCCAGTTTCACACATTACATCCAGAGACACAAGGGTGTCATTATCCAATATGGCTGACCAGTTCCGGAAGTGATTTAGATCCCATACATCATCTACTGTCACCGTACACGAAATGGATACAAAAGAGGAGTTTAGATGCGAGTCCTGCCTACACGTTGTCTCCCACTCAGTGGGGAGGTGTCGGCTTGTTCCCAATATAGACACATGTGAGACATTAGTTGTCGAATCACCAATCGACATGGCATATGATAGTTTAAAGACACTTAGAATTGCCAAATTGAATATTATGAGGATTAAACGGGACGACATCCCTGTGCCAGACAAGAGAGCTTGAAAATTGAACAGTTTCTCCATCATATCATTCCTGCTTCATCACTTGGCCGTTCGATCGATGACACAACCTCTGGTTTGTGACAGTCGGTAACAAAAAGTCACGTGGGTGGTTTACAATTCGTCAGGAAAACATCCATCTTGGCAGATGATATCTGAAAACAAACAAAGACTAGTTAATAATACGTGTGATGAGTGAATGTTGTTTAACTCCGTATAAGAGATAACGTGGGATGGTGCTCATAATTTTAATCACTGGTTTGGATGGCATAGACTTAATTTTTTATAGGCCGTCGTCAAATAGCTGTAATATTGTAATTCTGAATTAGGTTTTGGATTTTATCCCAAAAATTTAATTGTCCACCAAATTTACTGAACCTACTGTTGACAAAAATGCCTGCCACAAAATTTACATTGTCACGAGGTGTTGTTTATAAAATCAAAATCCAGGCTCATAATTTTAAATTGTTTTAATTGTCCACCAAATTTACTGAACCTACTGTTGACAAAAATGCCTGCCACAAAATTAACATTGTCACGAGGTGTTGTTTATAAAATCAAAATCCAGACTCATAATTTTAAATATAAATAATATCTGATTTTGAAGCTGTAGCTGACAAAATAACTTATCTCGATTCAAAATCCCAAACAGTAAGAGAAATACCTCGTCTACATACTCGCTGGTCCGCTGACGTAATGCACTCGAAATACACTTTTCATTCGCGGTGATGGATTGTGCAATTCTTTGTTATGTGCATCAATCAAAGGTTCAGTTTCCATACACCTATATCATGTATTCAAAGATATCTCTTCTTTCCTTTGTTTAATTAGAAATTATTAAACAGTGAGGTCTTTCATATATATTTTCGTTCTCACATTACATATTTAGTATCTTCTGTTTTGTAAGTGAATAGTAATATTTGTAAGCAGAATATGTCCAGGATGAAGACATACTACTCAAAAGAGGTTGAGGACCACCAGATTCTTTCATATCACTAGAGTTAATGTGGCATGCTATGACAGGGTAACTATATCTGTATGAAAGAACAAAGCGGTCCGTTTTTGAGTAGTACTACGACATCTACAAAGCATGTGTAAAGTGCACATTAAGTGAACAAACAGGATACGTTAAGAGAAGAAGTGACAGGTCGCGTAACGCACCGCGGCGGTTATGATTAATGTCACAAGATTGTTCTAAGAAATTGAAGTTCATGGAAACGCATGTTTTTTTTTGTTATCTTGTTTTTTTTAAATAGAGTCAATTATTCAAGTGAGTGAGTGAGTGAGTGAGTTTGGTTTTACGCCGCTTTTAGCAATATTCCAGCAATATCACGGCGGGGGACACCAGAAATGGGCTTCACACATTGTACCCATGTCGGGAATGATAAATACAATGTGTATGGTGTTGTCGGTATACACGTGTGACATTGTTTATGTTTATGTTTATTCTGCTTTATGGGGACTTACACTATTATAACCCAGATTATTTGCGAGCAGCCTGCGAGGAGTGATAAACCCTGGGGCCGGTCACATAATGTGTTGATGAGCCAGAATCGATAAGTACGCCTCGGGTTCAAGATTAAACACACGGTTAGCCTGCATGGTGACAGTTGATAGCTGGTAGGCGGTAATCCTTTCTTTACTCACCAGTGTTTTTGTGGCATCAACTCAAACTATGGTTCCAACTAAATGATTGCAGTTGTAGGTAACATAATTACCGGTACCTGACATCCAATAATAACATTGTCGTGTACAACATACGGCAGTGTGGACACTTGACTACCAATACAACATTGTGGACACCTGACTCCCAGTACAACATTGTGGACACCTGACTCCCAGTACAACATTGTGGACACCTGACTCCCAGTGCAACATTGATGACACCTGACTCCCAGTACAACATTGAGGACACCTGACTCCCAGTACAACATTGATGACACCTGACTCCCAGTACAACATTGTGGACACCTGACTCCCAGTACAACATTGTGGACACCTGACTCCCAGTACAACATTGTGGACACCTGACTCCCAGTACAACATTGATGACACCTGACTCCCAGTACAACATTGTGGACACCTGACTCCCAGTACAACATTGTGGACACCTGACTCCCAGTGCAACATTGATGACACCTGACTCCCAGTACAACATTGATGACACCTGACTACCAATACAACATTGTGGACACCTGACTTTCAGTACAACATTGTGGACACCTGACTCCCAGTACAACATTGTGGACACCTGACTCCCAGTGCAACATTGATGACACCTGACTCCCAGTACAACATTGAGGACACCTGACTCCCAGTACAACATTGATGACACCTGACTCCCAGTACAACACTGAGGACACCTGACTCCCAGTACAACATTGATGACACCTGACTCCCAGTACAACATTGATGACACCTGACTCCCAGTACAACATTGAGGACACCTGACTCCCAGTACAACATTGATGACGCCTGACTCCCAGTACAACATTGATGACACCTGACTCCCAGTACAACATTGATGACACCTGACTCCCAGTACAACATTATCATCATCTGACTCCAAATACAACATTGAGGACATCTGACTCCCAGTACAACATTGATGACACCTGACTCCCAGTACAACATTGATGACACCTGACTCCCAGTACAACATTGATGACGCCTGACCCTCAGTACAACATTGATGACACCTGACTCCCAGTACAACATCGAGGACACCTGACTCCCAGTACAACATTGTGGACACCTGACTCCCAGTACAACATTGATGACACATGACTCCCAGTACAACATTGATGACACCTGACTCCCAGTACAACATTGATGACACCTCACTCCCAGTACACCATTGTGAACACCTCACTCCCAGTACAACATTGTAGACACCTCACTACCAGTCCGCCATTAATAACATCTGCCTCCAAATACAAGATTGTGGACACCTGACTCCCAGTCCGCCATTATCATCATCTGACTCCAAATACAAGATTGTGAACACGTGACTCCCAGTACAACATTGTGGACACTTGACTCCGAGTCCGCCATTATCAACATCTGACTCCCAGTACAACATCGTGGACACTTGACTCCCAGTCCGCCATTATTAACATCTGACTCCAAGTACAACGTCGTGGACACTTGAATCCCAGTCCGCCATTATTAACATCTGACTCCCAGAACATCAGTGTGGACACCTCTGACACCTGCCTCTGAACACAGTATGGACATATGATTCTGAATAAAGTAATGTAGACACTTGACACCCAGTACAGCATCGTGGACACTTGACACCCAGTACAATTACCGTAGACACTTGACACCCAGTACAATTACCGTAGACACTTGACATCCAGCACAATTACCGTAGACACTTGACACCCAGTAAAATTACCGTGGACACTTGACACCCAGTACAATTACCGTGGACACTTGACACCCAGTACAGCATCGTGGACACTTGACACCCAGTACAATTACCGTGGACACTTGACACCCGGTACAATTACCGTGGACACTTGACACCCAGTACAGCATCGTGGACACTTGACATCCAGTACAATTACCGTGGACACTTGACACCCAGTACAAAATCGTGGACACTTGACACCCAGTACAGCATCGTTGACACTTGACACCCAGTACAGCATCATGGACACTTGACACCCAGTACAGCATCGTGGACACTTGACACCCAGTACAGAATCGTGGACACTTGACACCCAGTACAATTACCGTAGACACTTGACACCCAGTACAATTACCGTGGACACTTGACACCCAGTACAATTACCGTAGACACTTGACATCCAGTACAATTACCGTAGACACTTGACACCCAGTACAATTACCGTAGACACTTGACATCCAGTACAATTACCGTAGACACTTGACACCCAGTACAATTACCGTAGACACTTGACATCCAGTACAATTACCGTAGACACTTGACACCCAGTAAAATTACCGTGGACACTTGACACCCAGTACAATTACCGTGGACACTTGACACCCAGTACAGCATCGTGGACACTTGACACCCAGTACAATTACCGTGGACACTTGACACCCAGTACAATAACCGTGGACACTTGACACCCAGTACAGCATCGTGGACACTTGACACCCAGTACAATTACCGTGGACACTTGACACCCAGTACAATTATCGTGGACACTTGACACCCAGTACAGCATCGTGGACACTTGACACCCAGTACAGCATCGTGGACACTTGACACCCAGTACAGCATCATGGACACTTGACACCCAGTACAGCATCGTGGACACTTGACACCCAGTACAGCATCGTGGACACTTGACACCCAGTACAGTTACCGTAGACACTTGACACCCAGTACAATTACCGTAGACACTAGACACCCAGTACAATTACCGTAGACACTTGACATCCAGTACAATTACCGTGGACACTTGACACCCAGTAAAATTACCGTGGACACTTGACACCCAGTACAATTACCGTAGACACTTGACACCCAGTACAATTATCGTGGATTCGTCATTCCTCCTAAAGCCGCTGCCACCTCGAAGGTCCATGTCCTGGTTCTACTGCGTAAGACCGCCTCCATGGTCTTGTGGTAGAGCGTCCGCCCGGAGAGCGGAAGGTCCGGGGTTCGATCCCCGGTCGCGTCATACCAAAAGACGTTAAAATATGATACTGGTTGTTACCCTGTCTGGCACCCGGCATTATAAGGGGGATAAAACAAGGACTGGTCGGCTCGGAGTCAGTATACTCCGGCATGGTATCTCAATGAGCTAGCTCTATAAATCGGCTTCAGTCCAGACTAGTACACCCAGTACAGCATCGTGGACATTTGACACCCAGTACTTGACACGCACACGCACACGTGCATGCACGGCGCTATATAAGTGCAATAATCTTGGACGCGACGTTAAACCACATTTCACCTCACCTCATCTACTGCGTAATGCCAACAACGTATGTTTACTGTTCCCCAGGAAGTCAGCGAAGAAATGAGAACCAACACTATTGTCATGATGCTGGTTAATAGTGAATGCTTTTGTTTTTTGTTAAATAAAATATCGTAAATACAGGATATTGTGGACGAAAGGCATTGAAAACCACAAACATGACTGAATATGACGATCTCGGCGGATGTTTCCTACTGCAAGTTTAACACAGTGTTGATATGTCAAATTACCTATAATATCACAACATCTCAATACTTCAAAACTTCAAGCCGTAGAACAGTAAACATACTTGATTAAACTACCGTGGCGTTATAGATCCTCAGTAAATGTATTTGTTAAAATTAAAATGCTGCATATTTGTAAAAATCTGTAATAACATTAATAACAGTATCGTGTTGATCACTTTCCAGCACAAACTAAATTTTAACATGCACGAGGGTCACAGGGAATGAGTCCCGCTGTGGTTATAAGCGCACAACGTGTTCGGAATATTAAAAAGATCTTTACATAGGTAATGAGACATGCGTGTCAACAATTAATGAGCACGTTATTAAAAACTCACTGGCTCGCGACCGAGGGACAAACACTGGCTTCACAGAACACTTTCGTCTGTGTCCTCGCTGGCGCACTCCATCTCCTCCTCCGAGGAAGCTATTCACGACGTGAGATATAGGTCACAGCCACAAGTGTTGACGCGGTTCATGGAAAGGGGAGTCATTTGTTGGCCGCTCCCGATTGAACAAAGGGGGAGACTTGTTGCTGGGTCACACGTACCGGTGACTGGGTACTCCCAGCGTATTTTTGTAATTGTGTAATTCTTACCTATCTAAAAACAACGTAGTTGATCTTACTATTTATTATGTACTGTTAGGTGTCATGAATATTAAAGTGTGTTTATTCATGTATGGGAGGCCATAGGCCCATGTACATTTCAGTTATATATAGTAATATACAATTATACAATTGAGACAATTTACATTGCAAACAATCTTAAGGGTATAATATTAGGACTTGGTACGTAATAATAGGGCTTCCTTCACATACTTAGCTACATTTCTGAGTATACAGTCATTTTTGCTATTTAAGAGATTACTAAAAGTCTTAATACATGGATTGTTATAGAATCTTACAGGAATATACTTTTGTCTTATTGTTGCGTAAAACGGGCAGACAAACACAAAATGGACTTCGTCCTCAATACAACCATTGTTACATAGCCTACAAAAGCGTTGTGAAGAATCAATATCCTCTCTTCTGCCCAGATTACTCCGTATAGGCAATTCACTTAATCGCAACAGGCACATCATACGTCTATGGTCTCTATTTCTGAAAGCTGTAACATAATATTCCATATCCAATAATATCTTGACGTGTGAATAATACCTTAATTTACGAGACTCATAAATTTTCATCTGTATACTCTGTTTGTTGCAATCCAACAAACGTTGTCTAAATAGCTGCAAGAAACACTTAACATCACCAATATTGGTGACTGGGTACTCCCAGCGTATTTTTGTAATCGTGTAATTCTTACCTATCTAAAAACAACGTAGTTGATCTTACTATTTATTATGTACTGTTAGGTGTCATGAATATTTAGGGATATGGATATTATTTGTAGTGAAGATTGAGAACTGAAAATATTCTCAAAACTATTCATAAAGCATAACCTGTTTTGTTCAGTCTATATATTTTAAAAAGTACTTGATATTCTTGTAATCGTTGATTTTTTGAAAATGGAAACTCATATATGTATATATACAATTTAGTGTGTTATATCGTTTATTTCTTGTGTTTTTCATGATAAACAAAATAGCTGATCTGCTATTTGTAAAAAATATTCAAAAGAGGACTATTTGTATGTGTTTTTAAACAAATATACTATTGAGCGTGGTATAACGTTCATTCATATGTTCTTTATAACGATTCATCTGTTGATATTTAAAACATTTAATTTTACTGTTTAGTATAGATATTCAGAAGCATATAATAAAGGGTATACATTTAACGTAAATTGTAGCGTGAAATGACTGATTAAACTTCAGAATTGAGATAGGTTTGATTTTTTTCCAATAGATCATACAAAATATAACTTACAGAGATATGTTTTGGAAAGTTGTCTGGGTGGGTGAGTGGGTTGTGTTTTAAGCCGCTTGTGGCAATATTCTAGATATTCCAGCTCAAAAATATGCTTCCAACATTGTACACATGTAGAGATTCGAACCCGATTCTACGACATAATGAGCCGGTCTTTAACAGCCATGCTTCAGCACCAGCCCCTTTTTAATAATGATGTGACCCGTGAAGATCCGGGTCAGAATATAGGTCTTCAGCAACCCATGCTTACCGTAAGAGGCGACTAACGGGATCGGGTGGTCAGTCTCGCTGACTTGGTTGATCTATGTCATGGTATCCCAATTGCGTGGATCGATGCTCATGATGTCAACCACTGGATTGTCTTGTCCAGACTTGATTATTTACAGACCGCCGTCATATAGCTGGAACATTGCTGAGCGCGGGGATAAACAACAAATAAACAAATTTAATGATGATGTACTGGTAATTTTGCCTCACGTTTTAAATATCGGTACAACCAAGTTGCCATAATATTCTTAAAACAACAATCAAACATAATCATATAGGTGTCCTTTAAATTCTTGTCTTAAAAAAAGTCTTTTTTAAACATATTGTTACAGTGCAAACCATTTCAATACTTTTATTTGAAATAGTGCAAACCATTTCAATACTTATTTAACATTTCATTTATCTAAATACCTAACTGGTTCAATATGTTTCCGAGTACACCGAAATTCTATACCCTTTGTCTGTTTAATATATTCAGCAAACATTCGGCGTATCCCCTCTTATCATAAGCCCCCTCCGGGCAGGACCCTTAATCTCCAGCGCTATCTATAAATTTCAATTAACGCCTCCTTACGTCGCCGGATGACGTGGGACAATGACCTTGCCACACGTTACGTAATACCTCGCTCTACAAAACCCGACTGGTCAGTCAGGGAGACAGCTAGAAGGTAAGTGACAGAGCGAGTCTCCACCCACCCGGGAACATTGGCCACTCGGTCCGGTGAGCGTTCTTTCACGTTGTTATCAACATGTGAACAGTATTAAAGAAGTTGTTATCCATAAACTTGTGTCTATCTTGTACCTTTTCGACTCATTTCGACCTGCATCAATAAACATGGCTGCTGTCGTCTAAACTTCACCCCTGAGTTTTGTCTTCCGTCATCACCCTGAGCTACCATCCGAGGGCCGACACTTACACCCTTGGACAATATGACAAAATAATATTATTTAGCATTTAATGACCACAGAATATGTAAAACTATAAGAACTTATCAATAAATTTATTATCTGGCTGTATCTCCTTCCCATCCCCCGTGAACGGGAAACTTGTGAGAAACTGTTGGGTGAGTGAGTTGGATTTAACGCCGCTTTGAACAGTATTCCAGCTATATATCAGCTCAAAGGTGGAGGAAAGCCCGAAGTGATGCAGGTCTCAGACATTATCCGCTTTGAAGAGACCCATGAGCACGGGTTTGGTGCTGACAGACCTAGAAACATAATCGGAGCGAACCGGAATTCGAACCCACAGTGGGTATCCCGTGGCTCCCGAGAAACTGTTGAACCACTTTGCCTAGTGAATATTGTTACTGCCATATAACACCGCTAGAGCATTTAACATGATTTTCGGAGATTTCAATATTTTCGGTAATGAAATGCTTTCCCTGTATGGTTAACATTCCCCCTCTATGTATGCACATATTTGGAACAAGAATGTTTGTATGGTGACATCTCCGACTTTCAGATAAAGGAGTACATCTAAAAATCATTTTGATCAAAACATACATGTAAAACTTTGAAAAGGCTTTTTTGGATAAAATCACAACATAATATAATATAAGATGTTCTTACACTTGCTGGAATTGGCTTTCAAATACCATAAATTGTTTAATGCGTCATAAGAGATTGCTGGGCAAAAGAAAGTATACACCAATATTTGATGGTGGTTAAATATGAAGCAACCAAGAAATGGTTAATCGATGGTGGTGTTTAGATGCGGGTATCGTAGCTTTGTTTTTTACCTAAAGTTTGCTTTGTTTCGGCGACTTTTCTCAGTCTAATAGCGTTTTGATAACGTTTGTAATGTTTTGGTTATATTCAATCTTTAAGTGTATACTCTGTGGTGCCAGTCAGTTCAGTACTATGACATCAATATAATGGTTATCAAAACACTGAAACGGATTTTTGTTCAAACATTACACTAAATACGAATTACACTTCTCAAATAACTACTATAATTATTAAATGCATCATAATATAAATAGATGAACAGAACATCATTTTCAGACAGACGGGAAGAAAAAACAAAATAAATTGAGCCCGTTTACAATTGGCCACACACAATAAATGTTCTGAAAAAGTAATTGTCCGACGGTTTAAAGTAGTATTTGTTTGTTTGTTTGTTGTTTTACGCTCCACTCAGCAATATTCCAGCTATGTGACGGCGGTCTGAAAATAATGGAGTATGGACCAGACAATCCAGTGATTAATATCATGAGCATCGATCCACGCAATTGGGACCGATGACATGCATCAACCAAGTCAGCGAGCCTAACCACCCGATCCCGTTAGTCGCCTTTTACGACAAGCATAGTCGCTTTTTACGGCAAGCATGGGTTGCCGAAGACCTATTCTAACCCGGATCTTCACGGGTCTTTAAAGTAGTAAATACAGAGTTTAAATAGAAATCCTGCACTGCCTTTCCCAATCCATCTATCTCTCATCTAAACGTTCTGCCCGTCATTCTGACGTGGGAATAGTCGTGATGGACACACTACATTACCCATGTGAGTTGTTCAATACGCAATACCCCGAGGGCTTAACTTAGGTCATCCAGTTCACAACAGACCAGTTTCCTGAGTAGACACTTACTGTTCACTTCCGAAGTATTTCACGTTAATCGTCCGGCTCTCTGATTCATTGGTACGTCACTTTCAATCATGTGCGTCTGCCATTGTTATTGACACACACAAAAAATTCAAATTTCACACGCCATATCAAGAAGACGTTATCCATTCTTGACAACTGACATTATTATTGCAGAGCCAAGTTCAGTGTATGCCCGGCTGTGTTGGTCGTATGCTTAGTTGGAAACAAATAAAAATGTACTACTTTCAACTACTTTCAATACAAAAAATGAAAACATTTTTCCTCTAAAAATATGCCCAAGAAGAATATATTTTTTTATGCAGCCTATAGTCGTCCTTATTTCATGTAAGTAAGTGAGTTGGGTTTAACGCCGCTTTCAACTGTTATATCAACCCGTGAAGATCCGGGGGAGAATAGGTCTTCAGCAACCCATGCTAGCCGTAAAAGGCGACTGTGCTTGTAGTAAGAGGCGACTAACGGGATCGGGTGGTCAGGCTCGCTGACTTGGTTGATGCACGGCATCGATCCAAATTGCGTGGATCGATGCTCATGTTGTCAATCACTGGATTGCCTGGTCCAGACTCGATTACTTACAGACTGCCGTCATAGAGCTGGAATATTGCTGAATGCGGCGTTAAACAGCCAACCAACCAACAAACAAACAAACCAACCAACTGTTATATCACTGCGTGTCAGCTTTATGTGGGAGGAAGGCCAGAAGTGATGCACGTTTACCTTTTCGGTGAAA